TTGACTAGCATCATTATGTCATCCACCAAGAAAGGTAAAACGAGTGGCCCCCTTAGTGTCCGTCTTCCTCACGCTTTTTGCCCCCTTGCTGCTAAACTGTGTTTTCTTTTTCCTCTCTTCTCTTCTCTTTTGTTTGTCTTATTTGTTTAAGAGTCTCTTTTCGTGTGCGCCCTCCCCCTTTTCCTCACCCACTTTGCTCTCCAATGGAAAAATTGATATGTTCGAAAGTTTGTTTAATTTTGGATGCGATGTTCGTAAAGTCCTTTTTTGTGCCCCCTTCCCCATTCGGCAAAAAATGTAAATTTTTGAAGCAATTATCCAAATATCACTGTTACAAATGTTGGAAAAATTGAAGCTAAAATGTTAATAAAATGAGTGGCCCTGTCTATCTTCCTTTCCGGCACCTCATCCCTTTCCCGCCCCTGTCCGCCTGCTGTGTGGTTGTGTCCTTTCCTGTTCTCTGGTGTTAGTATACAGGTTCGTAAAGTCCCTTTGTGTCCCCTCCTCCTACATAAACTGCTTGAAATGTAAAATATCCAATGTTTCACCCTTTCACAACATTTGATGCTGACCGAAAGGCAATATAAATAAAATGAGTGGCCCTGTCTATCTTGTCCGTCTCCTCCCTCTCACCCGTTCCCCGCCCTGTCCGCCTGCTATGTTTTCGTGCCCCCTCTTGCCTCTTTGTTTATATGTTCGCAGTCACGCATACACATGCAACATAAATACAAACACGAAGCAACGCTCTGTAAATATTACTGCACAAAGATACGCACACCGCAGACGCTTGGAAATATAACACGTACAATACAGTTGACACGCATTTATTGTATACAGACGTTTTACAGACAAATAAACTTATTGAACTTAAAAAAAAAAAATTTACCGAGGCGTGGTTATTGCTAGTTAAAAACTATTCCCAATACCCCGCACGGTCGACCTTCACGGGTCGGCTAGTGCAATTTTTAACGGCTTCTACGGGAGCTTAATTTGCATAAATCTAGTGAATGGTTTACTAATACCTTTTCTTTTATAAGCGAGTGACGACGCAAGAAAATCAACTCGACTAGGAGCGTGTGCTAGGCGATTACCACCCGGTGACAAAGCGTCACTGCGCAGATGAGACTCGAATTGGTACAAATCATAGAACCCCGTTTAACCACAAGGTTATTTTGGGGTTCCCGACAGTTACTAATTCAACTGATGTCCAGACAGGATAGGGCTATGCTGTGACCAGCAGAGGCTTAGTTAAGAACGGCGTTTGACAAGGAAGAGTGGCGATTTCTAGGTAATAACTAATTGATGTTGAAAGTAACAATAAAGTCTAGTTATACGATAGTTAGAAGCTGGCTTAGTTGCTGCCAATGCGCAGTAGTCGCGTGGTGGGCACAGGATTTGCGATCCCTACGAATGCATGATTGCTGCTGGGCGAACACACAAAGTGAAGAGATCGTAGTGTAAAAAAAAAAAAAAACGTCATTAGCAGTGAAAATGAATGGAATCAGGGGATCTCCTTGCATTAACGGTCGCTAGTTGGACGGCGGCAGCCGCTTAGTCGGAGTTCAGTCCCCTGGCTGCAGTGCAATTACGGAGTGGAAAAGAGGGAACGACACAAATGACCTAATTAGGGCTAGGGGTAGGGTTTGGGTTATGGTTAGATTTAGGCTAATGTGAGTCGCAGCGCATGGTCTAGACGCCATGTTGAACTCACTGTGTTTTGTGATTCGTGCCTTGTCCACTCCGTAATAGCACTGCAGCCAGGGGACTGAACTGCGACTAAGCGACCGTCGCAGTCCAAGTAGCGACCGTTATTGCAAGGAGAACCGAATCAGGATTTTAGTGGGCCTGTTCACGGTGATGTTGATAAAAAAAAAAAACGAAACATTTGCTAAATTAGAACCTCCTATGACGATTTGAATTCTTCTGGGGTGCGAATCCTCCACTTCCCTCACCGCAGTGTTCATACTGCCCATTGTATTCACATTTGGGCCTACATCCATTGTATATGTATCTTTTTCCGCTTTTGGCCACACTAAAACTTTGGATTTTTTTTACTGTTTCAGAATTCTGTGCTCTCATATTGTGTATTCCAACTTGTAAAATTTATTACTCGGTATTGACCAAGGCTGAATATAATTGGTAGTTTCCCCTTGATTATTTTAATAGTTTTAGTCTATGTGGTCACAATAATTTTTTTCCAATTTATATTCATATAAATATAGTTTCTTTACACACAACTAATGTAATTATTCTATCTGTGCTAGCAGTATGTGTAGTAGATGAATAATTTACATTAGTAGTAATTTTTTGTTGCGTGAATTTGTTGAGATGTATATTCAGATTCTGAATACAGTAACATTCTTACAAATGACCAAACGTCGGATTGTCTTACCCAGATTTCCTTGTTAGCTTTGCGCAGTGGCGGTACCATAGCCAATGAGGTTTTACCGAGGCGTGGTTATTGCTAGTTGAAAACTATTCCCAATACCCCGCACGGTCGACCTTCACGGGTCGGCTAGTGCAATTTTTAATGGCTTCTACGGGAGCTTAATTTGCATAAATCTAGTGAATGGTTTACTTCTTTCTTTTGTCAAAATCTGCTTGTGCCGCTAGGCGTCGCAGTCTATCAGATGATCGGCAACCGAGCCAGGGCGCACTCAGTCGCTTCATATGCCGTGATGTTATGAAGTCTCAAGTTGTCCGTGACTCCTTCAATCCATCTTCTTCTTGGTCTTCCCCTGCCTCTTGTTGTTTCGATTTTCATGTTGTATGCTCTTGATGCTGGCATCGTTGGTTCCATTCTCATTAGGTGACCAAACCATTTCATTCTTTGCTTCTCAATAAATTTAACGATGGGTATGGTTCCAATAGTTCTTGTGATCACATCGTTTCTCACTCGATCTCTTCTGGTTTTATTCGCAGCCATTCTCAAACATCTCATTTCTCAGGTGGTTAGTCTTCTCTCATGTTCTTTTGTTAATGTCCAAGTCTGACATTGATAACCTAATGTCGGTATAAAGATTGTATTTATAATTTGTCTTTTTATCTCAGCTGGGACAGCAGGGTGTTTTAAAATTGGGGCAAGCTGGTATGCGACATTGTTGGCTTGTTGGATTCTTGCTTCAATCTCTCTGTCTATTTTACCATTGGATGTAAAGATACTTCCCAGGTATTTAAATTCTTGCACTTGTTTTAGGCTGTGATCTAGAATCTTTATGTCGATGGTCTGTTGCTCTCTACTTATGCTCATGACTTCTGTCTTTTCAGTATTGATCTTCATATGATGCTTGAGGCAACTGTCGTGAAGTAGGTTCATGTGGTCTTGCAGCTGTTTACTATCACTGTGAAATATGCATTGATCGTCGGCAAAGAGCAGCTCACTGAAGTCCTCCTGTTTATCGACATCTGTTGGTGTTATGTCTATTTTATTAATATTGTCCATAAATATTATGAAAAGTAAAGGTGATAATACACAACCTTGTCTTACTCCTAATGGTTTACTAATACCTTTTATAAGCGAGTGACGACTCAAGAAAATCAACTCGACTAGGAGCGTGTGCTAGGTGATTACCACCCGGTGACAAAGCGTCACTGTGCAGATGAGACTCGAATTGGTACAAATCATAGAACCCCGTTTAACCACAAGGTTATTTTGGGGTTCCCGACAGTTACTAATTCAACTGATGTCCAGACAGGATAGGGCTATGCTGTGACCAGCAGAGGCTTAGTTAAGAACGGCGTTTGACAAGAAAGAGTGGCGATTTCCAGGTAATAACTAATTGATGTTGAAAGTAACAATAAAGTCTAGTTATACGATAGTTAGAAGCTGGCTTAGTTGCTGCCAATGCGCAGTAGTCGCGTGGTGGGCACAGGATTTGCGATCCCTACGAATGCATGATTGCTGCTGGGTGAACACACAAAGTGAAGCGATCGTAGTGTAAAAAAAAAAAACGTCATTAGCAGTGAAAATGAATGGAATCAGGGGCTCTCCTTGCATTAACGGTCGCTAGTTGAACGGCGGCAGCCGCTTAGTCGGAGTTCAGTCCCCTGGCTGCAGTGCAATTACGGAGTGGAAAAGAGGGAACGACACAAATGACCTAATTAGGGCTAGGGGTAGGGTTTGGGTTAGGGTTAGATTTAGGCTAATGTGAGTCGCAGCGCATGATCTAGACGCCATGTTGAACTCACTGTATTTTGTGATTCGTGCCTTGTCCACTCCGTAATTGCACTGCAGCCAGGGGACTGAACTGCGACTAAGCGGCCGTCGCAGTCCAAGTAGCGACCGTTATTGCAAGGAGAACCGAATCAGGATTTTAGTGGGCCTGCTCACGGTGATGTTGATAAAAAAAAAAAAAACGAAACATTTGCTAAATTAGAACCTCCTATGACGATTTGAATTCTTCTGGGGTGCGAATCCTCCACTTCCCTCACCGCAGTGTTCATACTGCCCATTGTATTCACATTTGGGCCTACATCCATTGTATATGTATCTTTTTCCGCTTTTGCCCACACTACAACTTTGGATTTTTTTTACTGTTTCAGAATTCTGTGCTCTCATATTGTGTATTCCAACTTGTAAAATTTATTACTCGGTATTGACCAAGGCTGAATATAATTGGTAGTTTCCCCTTGATTATTTTAATAGTTTTAGTCTTTGTGGTCACAATAATTTTTTATCCAATTTATATTCATATAAATATAGTTTCTTTACACACAATTAATATAATTATTCTATCTGTGCTAGCATTATGTGCAGTAGATGAATAATTTACAGTAGTAGTAATTTTTTGTTGCGTGAATTTGTTGAGAGGTATATTCAGATTCTGAATACAGTAACATTCTTACAAATGACCAAACGTCGGATTGTCTTACTCAGATTTCCTTGTTAGCTTTGCGCAGTGGCGGTACCATAGCCAATGAGGTTATACCGAAGATGATACAGGTAGCAGTTTGAACTTTAGGTATATATTTGAACTGTGCTGTGCCCACATCTCCAAGCGATGTCCAAAACAAAAGCCAGAAAAAATCTCCCAGTTCATATAGTGGAGCCACATAATGATGTTGTTCCGTTTTTACACCGGGCAATTGCGTCACGATTACTTCCATATTCAGGCATTCCTATGGTACACTTTGACTCACATCCTGACTTGCTGATACCCATCAACTTAGAGGCAGATGTTGTCTTTAAACCGCAGCTACTTTATGAGTCTATTAGTATTGAAAACTGGTTGTTGCCATTAACTTATGCTAAACATTTGAATCAAGTTGTTTGGGTGAAGCCACCATGGGCTCAGCAGATCCAGACAGCAGAACAGACATTTTCTATCGGGAGATGCACAGCTACTGTGAAGTTAAGGTTATCCAGCAAAGAGAACTACTTTTTGACAGAAGGCTTGTTTTGTCCAGCTCAAGACCTTGCTGATGCAAGCAGTGTCAAACTGACAGTTATAGAACTCTTACCTGACAAGTGGGCCAACCTCAACCCACAAAACAACTCAACTGATATTCGTGCAGCTGAAAACAATACAGAAAGCAGTGAAGAATTTGTGAAGACCGTGACCAGAAAGCAAAGCGGTATTGCAGAATTGCAAGACCTTGTCGGCAACAAACCATATATCTTGGATGTTGATCTGGACTTCTTTTCAACTGCAAATCCTTTCAAAAATATGTTGAGACATGATGAGGAGGAGGCTTTGAGGAGACTCTATCACTATCCTCCAGTCACAGATTTCTCCGATGAGAATATTGTAGCCTTCACTAAGAGAAGGGAGACACAGCTAAACCAGTTGGAGAATGTGTTTTCTCACCTGGAAACTAAGTGGTTTGGAGACAAGCTATCTGATACAGAGTCCACGCCACAGTCATGCTCTTCACTTGCTGTTTTTACAGGACAAAATCTGGAGCAATTCTCATTTCTGGATTCTCAACAGCAGGCTGACCTTCACCTCTTGTGTAGAAGTTGTCTTGAATACAGAGAGGAAAGGAATGTAACATTTATAATGCTTCACTTTTTTGGCTGCACCCTGGATGATACTGAACTTCCCCATCATATCAGCACATCAGAACAAGTTCGGGCTCTTCAGACGTCTTTCAAGAATCTGTTAGAACATCTTCCCAAACCAACTATTGTAACTATTGCCAGGTCAAGCGATGATGGATACTGTCCCAAAGATGTTGTCGACCAATACCAGATAGATATTCTTAACATTTTAGAAGAATTGTATGGGCCTTTGCAGATAAATAAACACTATGAATAGACAGTCAAAAGCAGAGATATACATATGTGCACACCACACATATACACTTGTCATTTATCTTTTGACACTTTATCTGCATACAATAAAATATATGTGAGTAAAAAAAAAAAAAAAATACCGATGCGTGGTTATTGCTAGTTGAAAACTATTCCCAATACCCCGCACGGTCGACCTTCACGGGTCGGCTAGTGCAATTTTTAACGGCTTCTACTGGAGCTTAATTTGCATAAATCTAGTGAATGGTTTACTAATACCTTTTATAAGCGAGTGACGACGCAAGAAAATCAACTCGACTAGGAGCGTGTGCTAGGCGATTACCACCCGGTGACAAAGCGTCACTGCGCAGATGAGACTCGAATTGGTACAAATCATAGAACCCCGTTTAACCACAAGGTTATTTTGGGGTTCCCGACAGTTACTAATTCAACTGATGTCCAGACAGGATAGGGCTATGCTGTGACCAGCAGAGGCTTAGTTAAGAACGGCGTTTGACAAGGAAGAGTGGCGATTTCCAGGTAATAACTAATTGATGTTGAAGGTAACAATAAAGTCTAGTTATACGATAGTTAGAAGCTGGCTTAGTTGCTGCCAATGCGCAGTAGTCGCGTGGTGGGCACAGGATTTGCGATCCCTACGAATGCATGATTGCTGCTGGGCGAACACACAAAGTGAAGCGATCGCAGTGTAAAAAGAAAAAAACGTCATTAGCAGTGAAAATGAAAGGAATCAGGGGCTCTCCTTACATTAACGGTCGCTAGTTGGACGGCGGCAGCCGCTTAGTCGGAGTTTAGTCCACTGGCTGCAGTGCAATTACGGAGTGGAAAAGAGGGAACGACACAAATGACCTAATTAGGGCTAGGGGTAGGGTTTGGGTTAGGGTTAGATTTAGGCTAATGTGAGTCGCAGCGCATGGTCTAGACGCCATGTTGAACTCACTGTGTTTTGTGATTCGTGCCTTGTCCACTCCGTAATTGCACTGCAGCCAGGGGATTGAACTGCGACTAAGCGGCCGTCGCAGTCCAAGTAGCGACCGTTATTGCAAGGAGAACCGAATCAGGATTTTAGTGGGCCTGCTCACGGTGATGTTAATAAAAAAAAAAAAAACGAAACATTTGCTAAATTAGAACCTCCTATGACGATTTGAATTCTTCTGTTGTGCGAATCCTCCACTTCTTTCACCGCAGTGTTCATACTGCCCATTGTATTCACATTTGGGCCTACATCCATTGTATATGTATCTTTTTCCGCTTTTGCCCACACTACAACTTTGGATTTCTTTTACTGTTTCAGAATTCTGTGCTCTCATATTGTGTATTCCAACTTGTAAAATTTATTACTCGGTATTGACCAAGGCTGAATATAATTGGTAGTTTCCCCTTGATTACTTTAATAGTTTTAGTCTTTGTGGTCACAATAATTTTTTATCCAATTTATATTCATATAAATATAGTTTCTTTACACACAATTAATATAATTATTCTATCTGTGCTAGCATTATGTGCAGTAGATGAATAATTTACATTAGTAGTAATTTTTTGTTGCGTGAATTTGTTGAGATGTATATTCAGATTCTGAATACAGTAACATTCTTACAAATGACCAAACGTCGGATTGTCTTACTCAGATTTCCCTGTTAGCTTTGCGCAGTGGCGGTACCATAGCCAATGAGGTTATACCGAGGCGTGGTTATTGCTAGTTGAAAACTATTCCCAATACCCCGCACGGTCGACCTTCACGGCTCGGCTAGTGCAATTTTTAACGGCTTCAAAGGGAGCTTTGTTTGCAAAAATGTAGTGAATGGGTTAATAATACCTTTTTTTAAAGCGAGTGACGACGCAAGAAAATCATCTTCATTCGTAGCGTGTGCTGAGCGATAATACCCGGTGACACAAAGCGTCACTGCTCAGATGAGACTCGAGTTGGTACAAATCTTAGAACCTCGTTTAACCACAAGGTTATTTTGGGGTTCCCGACAGTTACTAATTTAACTGATGTCCAGACAGGATAAGGCTGTGACCAGCAGAGGCTTGGTTAAGAACGGCGTTTGACAAGGAAGCTTGGCGATTTCCAGGTAAATTTTCATGATCCATGTGGGCCTTGCCTGGAGTAAGCTATAAAGGGAAAGCCGAAAGTTTCCAAATTAGGGCCGTTTCTGACTGTCTGTAGCCTTATGTTGTGGTTAAATTTAAGACAGCCTTGAGCTAGCTCTTTACCCCCACCCCCCTCCCCCCAGCCACAATGTTTTTACTACATGTGGTATTCTCATTCACCCTGACATGAAGCATAAAACTGTACCTGCTTTTGCGCAAACTCCTCTTTTGCATAGGTGGAAATTCCCAATGTGCATTGACGTCGATTGTGATAACATAATAACTAACATAAAGGGAGACAAAACATCCATGTTCACATTATATGGCATGGGCTTTACAAAACAAATTGAATCTGACTTGCACATCTTTCAGAGGGCTGTGGAAACCAACACCAGCATTTGTTGCCTGTTTATGGTTATAATAGTGAATTTTACGTTCAGTAGTTTGCCATTGCTTCTAAATTGTCGGCTCTTGATACCATTGTCAAAATCAATGCAATGCGGTCTGCTGCCAAATTACTAGCAACTAGAATGTAAACAGGTATCTCTGAATTACAAACTATGCTCACAACTTTTAATCTACAGATGCTGACATGGACTATAAGAAGAAGTGTGATAAATTTCATATTTGAGAGTATGTACTGAAAGTTAATCTGTTATCATGAGATTTTGTTTTCTGTATTTGCTGCAGGATTGGGATTTCCCCCACTTTATTGGTTCCTTCGATATCAAACTTCCTGGCATCAACACTGGTCACATTCGCTTCAAAATTCCAAAACTGTTCAGGAAATTAGAACACTGGCATATCCACATATCAGGTGAGAATTGTGTTCACACTTTCTATATTGCTCATCTCTTTGAGTTCCAGAGGGTTTAGCATCACAGGCCCAAGAGTTAGTCAAAAGAGACGTAAAATTGGCGCATCATGCGTTCATTGGGCTTCTAGGCAGTAACCTATGAACATATTATGCGTTCCTTGGGACTCAAAGAGTTAAATTCTCTGTTTTGGTTCTGGAGTATTATTTTGAAGAAAAAAGGAATAACCCCCCCCCCCCCCCCCCCCCCCACCCTACTCCCCCCTACCCCCATTGAGCATGTCACAAAAATCGACTAATTACGGGTGTTCCCTCTAAAGTCATAGCACATTTGTCTGAGAGATGAAGAACCAGTAGTCTATGTACAGACAAGTCAGATCTGTCAAACGGATGTACCTGCAGAACTCAAGTTCTGGAACAAGAGCAATGTCCAGAAGCGGAGGAACAATCAGAACATTTCTGCCAGAATTTACAGCAGATGAATACGAAGAAGAAGAAGATATTGCTTTCTTGGTCAAGATTTTCATGAATGAAAGTTAATTAAATGACCTTAAAGTATACAGAGCAGCCAGACGCAGGATGCACTTGAAAGACAAATAAAACCCAGATCAATGCAGTCGTTAGATCCTATTGAAAATACAATCCCATAGAAAATACAATCCCATAGAAAATACAATCCCATAGAAAATACAATCCCATAGAAAATACAATCCTCAAGGACCACTAACAACCTCACATGAAAGTAACCGACCATTGTAAACACCCTGACAATTAACTGTTGAGCCTGATTTTATTGTGGCCATAGTTAGTTAGTTAGTCGAGAGTTCAACATCACCGCAATCGGGTTTCATCATACTTGACCCGTTCCTGTGCCAATGCGAATCAAATTGAATGTCCCTCATTGTTGCATATGAAAAACTGGTAAATAAACAACTAGTTCCGGAACAATCCAGAAATACATGCACACAGTAAATGTGTTTTTCATTTGCTCAAGGCGGCCAAGGCAACAGTAGCCACCAGAAATGCAGTTTGTCGTTTAATGGAAGTAGTTGGGCACGATAAGTTGGTTACTATTCACACACATATAAATCTTACATAAGTTTAAAAAAAAAGGTACATAATAAAGTAAATAATAAATATTTATTATTATGTTCAGTACCAATTGTCACCATTATTAAGACATCCGAGCATAACTATTAGTGCAAAGAGACAGATTATTAATAGCATATTTATTCCAACATTAAGCTACTAGTGCCAAACATGGAAACTATCTAAAGCCCATATATGCAAAATTACCACCTGCAAGATGAGGTGCCTGAGAAAAGCAGCCAACCTAACCATACGAGATCGAGTGAATAATGAAACTATCAGGCAAATTGTGGGAAAGACACCCTGTACTAGATTCATCAAGAAACAGCAGATCAAGTGGTTTGGCCATCTCGTTAGAATGCAGCAAGATCAAATACTATCACAAGCACTACATCTCAGAAGACCAACTACAAAAGCAAGAGGACGGCCGCGAAAAACATGGATCGACAACATTAAAGACACTCTAAGCCTTCACGGCATGAAAATAGCCAGTGGCAGCCAACGTGCACTGGAACGCAAATTATTCCTCCCCACGACGCTTAACGGCAGAAGTGGTTTATGATGATGATGATTATGTTCAGTCTGAACATACATATTTGGAATACTAATGTTCTTACTGAATGCATCCAAGAAGCAAGTCATGTTGTCCAAGCAAGGCCAAGTTAATCCATGATCTGACAAATTAATAACACTGCATGGTTAGCATTGTAATCTGCCATTTTCTTAGCTAGTGAAAGTTATGCTGTAAGATATACAGCATAGAGCCAACGGTGAACATTAATTATGTTTCAAACTCATAAAAATGTGCTCTTCAGCCAATTTAATTCATGAGATATGTCCATGTAGATTAGTGTTTTTCTCTTGCATGAGGAGAAATTAAGGATTCAAAATGTGTGTGGAAAAGAATGAAGGTGAAGCTGGGCTGGGAGAAAAGATTGAAGGTGAAGCTGGGCTGGGAGAAAAGATTGAAGGTGAAGCTGGGCTGGGAGAAAAGATTGAAGGTGAAG